TGATCAGAGTTGTACGAGCCCCAATAACATGATTTATATATATAGAAAAGGAAGACCGAAATCCTCACAACTGGACCAATAGGTGACATCATGGTAAACAGAAAAGGTTGCCGTTGTCAAGGCTTTTGTCTTGCTTGGATCCACAATCAGCGCTCGTGGCAGCATCAGCCGAGAAATCAAAAGAGGAGTTGCACTGGGTAACCCTGCTGCACAAAACCTCTGTAGGGCTTCAAAAGCCAGCGTGTTACTTTGCCTGACCCAAACCCCGGGGTTTTCAATGGCCTCATGCGCATGTGAAAGTTGAGCAGCGGTTCTCCACCTTCCTCATGCCACGACTCTTTCATACAGTTCCTCGCGTGGTGGTGACCCCCCACCATAACATTATTTTCGTTGTTACTTCATAACTGTAATTTTGCTACTGTGATGAGTCATCATGTAAATATCTGATAGGCAGGATGTATTTTCATTGTTACAAACTGGACATCATTCAAGCATAGTGATTCATCACAAAACATGTAATTATGTATTGTGAGATATTCTAATGACAAATAAATGAAATGTTGTCTTGAAGCATGGTGTAGCATGGGTCACAATCTTTATGCCAGGTACTTGTAGGTGGGCGCATCTGCATGTGGGTGGGCCTCCCTGGAGACAGATAGAGGTGCGGTGTCTCGGCTCTCTAGACATCTGGTCTGAGGTGACCCCTGTGAAAGGTCGTTTGACCCCCAAAGGGGCCAAGACCTACAGGTGAAGAACCGCTGCCTTAGAGGGTAGGATAGTGAGACTAGTCTTACACACTTTGCGCACATCAGGAGAGACCAGATCCTTGAGCAGGACGTGGTGCTTGGTAAAATCAAGTGAGAGAAAAAGAGGAAGGTCTTTGTGCTAATCACACAATGTCATGTCAACTTAGTAAAGGGAAAGGGTGGAGTCTGGCCTGTCAATCAGGTCACACAGCCTGAGGATGCCTCCTGGTGGGCAGGGCCTTCCCATGAGGATTCTGGGAACTTCTTCTCTTTCTCCGGGGAGGAGGGCCACACTCTCTCTGCTTCACATTCTGTTGACAAGGCACATGGAGCCACGCTGATGGCAGCCAGAGCCCTGGAGCTGCGTCCACCGCCACTGGATCCAGCCTTTCCACCCACCGGCCTGTGATCTTCCTGCATTTCGCCTCATTGCATGTGACTGCGTGAGCCTGAGGAGGGATTTATGGACTGGTATCAGACATATCGGCCAATATCAGAGTTATGGACTTGATCTGGACTGGACCGCGATCTTTTCTTAATATACAAGTGCTCTTTGATATAAAGTTCTCTCTTACACACATGAGTGTCTCTGGACTGGTTTCTCTAGTCAACGAAGACAACCACACTAATGAAATGGAAAATTTCTCCGTGTGGCTGTTGGTTGCCTGTCATCTTTGATAAATTGTCTACTCATGTCTTGTAGCCATTTTTGATTGGGTTATTTGTATTTTTATTGTTAAGATGCTCCAGTTTCCTACTGATTGGCACTTTATCTGAGATATTGTTAATGAAGACTTATCCCAATCCATGAGCTCTCTCTTAACTCTTTTTTGAAGTCTTGATTTGCATACATGTCATATTTTTGGCATGACAGTTTCTTTAGTCTCTATAGTATGGGCATTTTTCATTCTGTTTGATAGTGTGTTTATTATGCCTTGTAGTAGGGCCCTTATGTTTGTTCCTGTATTTTCCTTGATGGTCTTTGTAATCATATAGTTTATCTTTAGATTTTTGATCGATTGTGTGCTTGGTTTTGTACCTAGGGCGAGGTATGGGTTGGTCCTATTTCATTCTTTTGCAGATAGAGATCCAGTTTCTCCAGCACCACTTGTTGACAAGTCTGTCTCTTCCCCAATGAATGTGTCAAAGTGCTTTCTTCATACATGAAGGTCAAAGAAGACAAGAAAGATGTTCAAAAGGGACTCTGAGACTTGCTCTTGAATGTAGAGCAGCTAAAGCAAATGGAAGAGGCAAGAGAGTATACAAACCTAACAGAAACTTCAAAGTGCAGCTTGAGGACACGAAGTAACATATTACAACGAAATGTGCTGAGACCTAAAGTTAAAGAGCCGAAACAGAAGAAAACACTCAGCCTCTATCAAGCTGAGAGAACTGAAGAAAAACAGTCAAGCCTCAAGTTCCAATGTTGAAGGCTTCCAAGGGAAACCATTGAGTGATGCAGCAGCTGAGTTTTGCCAGTTGACCAGAGAAACAAATCCAGTGATACTCATCCATGTGTGAGGAAAGCTTTATATAAAGGAGTCATTGTACATCAAGGCAACAGCCAAGCCCAGTCCATTGCTGTCCCTAAGTCCGATACTAGTCCCTAAGTCTCTCTTCAGACTCACACAGTCACATGCAATGATGCAGAATGCAGGAAGATCACAGGGCAGTGGGAGTGAGCCAGCGAGCGGTGGAGGAGAGAGAGGGAGGGATGGAGACAGAGAGAGAGAGAGAGTTCCAACAGAACTCTATCCTGTCCGAACCTCCCAGCGAGGTCATCAGCCTGTGACCTGATTGGCAGGTGAAAGCTCCAAGCTACGCTTCTACATAACTTTAAAATCATGTCACTGCCACCAAAGGAGCACACAATCACAGTACCATGGGTTTCCAAAGAAACAAATTGTCTTGGAGGAAGTGTCATCAGGATGCTCCTTAGAAGCGAGGCTGGCGAGACTTCCTCTCACATACTTTAGACATGTTATCAGAAAGGACCGGTCCCTGGAACAGGGCACTGGGGCTTGGTAAAACGCAGACTCAGCAACAAGGATGAAGGGTCTACAGAGGGATGGAGGGGCCCAGTGGGCTCAGCCGCAGCAAGGCGCAGACCAGGCAGTGTCTGCTCCCACCGCTGTGCATCAGGCCGACCTGAGTGGGACCAACCCGAGGGCACTTAACAACAAGCTGTACATCAAACCAGGGGAAAGCGTATCTCTGAGACAGTAAGCGCTGCGACACGATTATCGCGGCGCTTTCCATCACGCCGGTCCGTCTTAAGATGCCACCGCGAGGGAGGAAAGAGGGGCCCAGACAGTGACTTACACTTGACATTCCCTGCAACTTGCCTCCGCAGGAAACAGCTGCTAGGTGCGTTCAGGGTCTCCCAGGTGATGGACGGTCACGGCGCGGCGGCGGCATGCATTGCGGGTCTAGTAGCCCTGTGCGCCCCAAGTCTCCTCAAAGGGGAGTGGCCGCCTTGTGCGTCCCGGGGTCCTCCACGGAGGACGTGTCGTGGGTCTCCAGGAGGGCTCTGTGCACAAGCCCGGCTTTCCGCTGTGCGCTTGCTGGGCCTCCTCGGAGGACACGGCCATCTTGTGCATTCCAGGTGTCCTCGGAGGGGACGGCTGCCCTGTGCAACTCGGGTCCTCTCGGAGAGGGGCGGTCACCGTGTGCACCCCAGCCTCCTCGGTGGACGGTAGGCACTGTGCATGCCAGGTCTCCCATCCCGGCCTGCCCTGGGCGTCCCCGACGTCACGCCCCCACGCACGGACGCACGAGCCTGCCGGCGGCGGGAGAGACGGGGGTAGTG